GCGGGTCTCGAACCCGCGGTCTCAGGCAATCCACTCACCTCAGCCTCCCAAAGGTGCAGGATTACAGGCCATATCTATTTTCTGATTTGTCACACTTCTTCCTTGAGGAAGTGAGAAGGGACCCACTCTGCTTAAGTTGGTGGTGGTGGGGGGCGGAGTGGACAGAATGAGGAAAATATAGGGGTAATAAAAACACAGGTTACTGCCTCCAAATATTTTTCTGCCACACAAAGTGTTGGAACCATAGTTTTATTTTTTCCCCAATTGAGTTATCTGTCACTAGAAGTTAAAGAATTTCTCTTAAAAGTCAACCAGGCCCTGTGACAGATTTTTCAGAACCTGACAATATTTCTTCATGATATATGCTCTACCAGGTCAGGGCTCTATGTCTATTTTGCCTCAAGCATCCAGAGTAGTTTCTAGCATATGCTGTCTCATTTTAAGTCAAAAATAAAGGATCCATTGTCCATTGAGGGGCCTTGGCTAGCAGGCCAGTGATTTGAAGAGATAGTGAAGGTCAATGTGGATAGTGCATGGGATGGATTAGTGTGTGAAGAACACTTGGCAAACCATGGTATGGGGTCAGTTTGAAGAAATGGTGCCCAGGGCTAGGGACACGTAGCAGTGGGAATAGCAGTGGGAATAAAAGTGGCAGTGGGAATAAAAGTGAAGGATGAACAGGAGAATAATAAGAAGCCTAGTCTGCCTGACTTGGAAACTGAGTCAATAAAGGAAATAAGCAGCAAAAACCCATGGGAACTCAGAGTTTTCAAATCTGGATGTCTAGGAAAAAATAGTACCATTGATGAAAGTTGGAATTGAGGAAGAGGAGCTAGGTTGGAGGAAGACAATCCTAGACCTTTGAGCTTAAAACATTAGCTGAACATAAGTCTTATTGATTGATATTCATAAATACGATTAAGAATATCAGAGTTTGTCCAACTAGACTAATGCCTAGCTCCCATATTTTAATCTTGATGATGACACTTGTTATAAATATCTTACTGAAATCCATTTATACTGTGTCATTTGCATTTTCTTGGTGTGCCACACTGATTATGCTAAAAACAGGAAATGAAATGGACCACCATGGCATTTTCTTGGTGAATCTCTCCTGGTCCCTAGTGATCTCCAATACCTGTTGTAAAAGCCTACAAGCAGTCCATTCAATAGACCAATTTCGACTTTCTCTCTTTTTTTATTTTGAGTTGAGATTTTACTCTGTCACCCAGGCTGGAGTACAGTAGCATGATCATGGTTCACCAGAGTCTCAACTTCCTGGGCTCAGGCAATCCTTCTCCTCAGCCTCCCGAATAGTTGGGGCTACAGGAGAGGCCTACCATGCCTGGCTAATTTTTTGATTTTTTTTTTTTATAGAGATGAGGTCTTGCTATGTTGCCTAGGCTTGTCTTGAACTCCAGGCCTCAAGCAATTCTCTCACCTTGGCCTCCCAAAGTGCTGGGATTACAGGTATGAACCACCACGCCTGGCCCAATCTTGACTTTCTAGAGGCCATCTTTAAAAATCTACAGTATACTGGAGCATCTTCAGACTCCTGGCACCTCCCTTATTCAACATGATCACAGTAATGGAGGTGCACTGCTCTGATCTCCTTTCAAGAAAGAATGTGAGCATCAACCACGAGGAGTGCAATTAGCTGATGGTCTCCAACTGTTAGCAATTTGGGGTTCACCTCAATTTTTAAGTTGAGGCCATGCTTTTCCTAGGAAACCTCTAGTCAATGACTGAATGTGGTGGAGGTATTAAGGTCTAGCCATTTCTGCCCAACATGGGATTCCTTTAATGGGTAATCTTTGCTCCAGAACTCCTTGTTGGATTGGCTGAGGCTTTGTCAGATCTGTGTGTAATTTGAGCCTCTTCCTACCCCCAAACTGATTCCTCCCCCTTCATCTTTCATAAGCATCTCCTACCAATAAACCTCTTGCACTCTTAACTACATTTCAGCATCTACTTCCTGGAGAACCCAATTGACACAAACGTGATTCTTTAATGCTCTCCTGACATTGGTCCTGAGACCAGATGTCTAAGTTTTCTCAGGGACTCAGAAATGTTGACTAGGCGTGGTAGCTCATGCCTGTAATCCCAGCACTTTGGGAGGCCAAGGCAGGAGGATTGCTTGAACCCAAGAGTTTGAGATCAACCTGGCCAACATAGCAAGACTTCATCTCTAAAAAATAAAATAAAATAAAATGAGCAGAGCATGGTGGTACACATCTGTGGTCCCAGTTACTTGGGAGACTGAGGTGGAAGGAATGCCTGAGCCCAGGAGTTCAAGGTTGTGGTGACCTGTGATTGTGCCACTGCACTCCAGGCTGGGTGGCAGAGCAAGGCCCTAACTCAAAGAAGGAAGAAAGAAAGAAAGAAAAAAGGAAGGAAGGAAGGAAGGAAAGAAAGAAGGAAAGAAGAAATAATTTTTTTTTGAGTTTAAATGCATTTTATTTTTAGACAACCTACATGACATGTTTTTCTTAAAAAACAATGCCTCCACTCCAAATAAATCATGGTCAAAACAAATGAAGTTCAAGATGACATCAGTCCATTTGTCTTAGATCCTGGTGTTGTGTGGATGACAAGCAGCAGCCAGTTATGATGACAGGTGATAGATCCAAGGTAATTGCCAAATTTGTTCACATTTTTCCATCTCTAAACAATCCTTAAAGAAAATCATATATGGGGTCACACCATCCTAACGGTAGTCCAGTAGAGCAACCATGCCATCTGGATTCATGTTTTCACCAATAAAGAACTGGTAGTTTTTAAAATTAGCAAGGATGCGCTTGATTTGTTCTGCAGCCCCTGTCATAAAAGGTTTTACTCGTTCCGGTCTCTGTTCTTCAAGTTTGCCTTTGATTGATTTCATGTAGTCGTTGATGTACTTCTTGTAGGCTTCTTTTGTGAAGCTGGTTTCCTGCAGGTGATGGTTCATGACAATATCAACACCAGTGACCACTGTGCTTTCGGTACCTTCGCCCTCGGGGCCTTCAGTGGAAGCATTTCCACCAATGAGCGAGTCATCAATGTTACCCTCTGTCCTACTGACCATCTTCCCCTTCACCTCCAGGCACAGTCTGTCCGCGATCTCCCGGATCTTGTAAATGTCGGAGAACATCTCATCGTGGCTGATGAGGTCCCGGTAGATGATCATGAAGGGAGACCGCGGGGGCGCTAACTTAGCAGGAGCCCGGAGCTCAGCGTGAGTGCGGTGCAGCTGGAGTGGGGTTCGGGTGGAGGGGAGAGCGGGCAGAAAAGGAGAAGAAATAAATTGTTAAGCATAGAGTCCGAAGGAAGAGATCTCATGTAGTTCTCTCAGATCGCTTGGGTTTTAATTCTTTCCCAACAATATTGACCCTATCCTTTAATATTGGAAAATTATTCTCCTGGATGTGAAAGATGACAACCCAGTAAGATGCAGCTTTCTCTCTGCCAGCACCACCTGCTCTAAGGGGTAGATCTATTCTTTTGGAGTTCTTTAAGTTGATAGGAACAGACACTACAGTTGATTTTAGCCAAAAGGGTAAGAAGTGATTGGGGTTCTTCTTTAAATGAGCATGGTTAAAAAATTGTCCTTAGCATATTTATAGTCCCTAGTTTACTGCTTTTTAATGTTCCTGACCAGGACTTCAAAATCACTAATAATACTTTCCATTGTGGAGACTTCTATAATTTTGTAAAGCATTTTCACATTTATTCTTTTACCATATTCTTATAACATCCTTATGAAGGAGCTGCACTGTCTAATAATAATAATAGTATAGTTGAGAAAACAGAGGTTTAGAGATGTTTAATGTGTTCCAAAATTTACAGAGCTATTATGCAGCAGATCTGAGACTTGAAGCAGCACTCCTGAAACAAAACACAATGTACTGTCTACTTTATCATGCTAACTCTCAGTAGGTGGTTTGAGTTTTTTCTGGTGGTTTCAGCGAGTCTAACTTGAACCCCCAGATGTGCAAAAGTAACATTGGGTTCTTAGAAGGCTTTCCACATGTTCTGGCAACACACCCAAAGAAGATGGTACACTTCTGAATCAGCCACGTGGGGTGCCTGTGCCCTCTCAGCTCTACCCGGTAGGATCAATTCACCAGTTGCTGGTGCCTTCGAAGACCTCTAGATTGCCACGAAGTGTCAGCAACTTCAAATGTCTAGCCTCACCCTCAGAGAGATGGCTAGTGATCTGACTTCTTGGCACTATTTCTCTTCCTTCTCTTAAATCTTGTGTTATTTTTCTTCATTCACCACTCTCATGACCTTGGTTTTAATTTCTCTCTGCTTTCTGACTCTGGCTTCCTTTTTGGAGATTTTTTTTCCATCCTGCAAAGAATCCCTACTTCTTTTCCAATAAGTTAGCTTATATGAGACTCAACCCCTGCCACCTCTCCTGAAGCCAGGAGACCAACTTGTAACTCCATTTCCATTGGTGAGTGGCTCAGGCAGAAAGATAATCAGAGATATGCCATCAGGCTTTTGGAAGCCTTCCCATATTGCCCATAACACTTAAGTAGTATGATAAATGGTTGTCTTGACAGTTCTGCCCCCAATAGCTCATGAAGCTGAACTTTTGAAGCTTAGTTTGCTGCAGAGTTCTGACCACTTTCTAACTCTGCATGGTCTTTTCCTGAGAGGGAGAAAAGAGAAGGAAGACTTAAAGGAGTGTAAGTTATTTTCTCAAATTCCCCCTGCCTTTTTTTTTTTTTTACAAGTATAAAAGCAATGCATCGTCTTTAGAGAAACACTGGAAGAAGCAAAATGAATAAATAAATAAATACAAATAAAATTAAATGTTAACAATTGTTGGTATCAACTTTACTATTTTTCCATTTATTTATACCATACCTGATTTTTCACTTAAATATATACTGAAATAATTCTCTGTCATTAAATATTTTTACTAAAAGAGGATTTTTCATGAATGTATAGTATGTATCATAATTTATTAAACCTATTATTAGACATCCACTAAAAATCATGCAGGATTTAATTGCTCAAATGGCAGGACTTCAAAACAAAACATTTTACTTTGTTTCCTGAAAACTTTGGGAAGGCATTTCAGATAGTATATCTTTTTTTTAGGTCTCAGTCTCACTCTGTCACCCAGGCTGGAGTGCAGTGGTATGCAGCCTTGGCCCGCTGGACTCAGGTGATCCTTCTGCTTCAGTCTTCCAAATAGCTGGAACTACAGGCACATGCCGCCATGCCCAGCTAATTTTTTGATTTATTGTAGAGACAAGTTTTTGACAAATTGCCCAGGCTGATCTCGAACCCCTGGGCTCAGGCAATCCTCTTGCCTCTGCCTCCCAAAGTGCTGGGATTATAAGCATGAGCCACCGTGCCCGGCTAGATAATATAGTTTTTATTTTTTATTTTTTTTAGAGAGAGAGTCTTTCTCTGTCATCCAGGCTGGAGTGCAGTGGCACAATCATAGCTTGCTGTAGCCTTGAACTCCTGGGTTCTAGTGTTCCTCCCGCCTCAGCCTCCCAAGTAGTGGGGACTATAGGTGTGAGCTACTGCACGCACATCAGGTAGGATATCTTTAACTACAGGTGACAGACTAGTCTCACTGAAATTGACCTAAATACTATAAATTCTATCATCTCATCTAAGAAGTCCAGAGGTTCAGCAGGCTCTAGTAGCTCAAAGATGTCTACCTCTTCACTTTGCATATTAGGTGAGTCCGGTTTCCCTGCAGGCTGGCTCCCCTGGTCACAAGTTAGTGGCTACAGTTCTGGGTATCATATTGAGACATGTGATACCCAGAACTGTTTTTGTGTCTCTCTTTTTTGAGCAAGGACTGCTTCCCAGAATTCTCCCTTCACATTTCATTGACTAGAATTGGATCAAATCCTACTGGGAAGAGGATCGAAACTACCATGGGTGGCCTGGCTCTATCCCTAGAGTTAGGGACAGGAATATATTTTCTTGCAGGGTGTATAGCTAGACAAAAACAAGGTGTGGATATGGAGGAAGAAAGTGGGAGGAATGAATACAGGCTAGTGTCTTGATTTGGGTTCCCCCAAAACAAACTGTGAAACAAGGATTTAGTGCAAATAGATTAACTGGGAGGTGATCCCAGAAATACTGATAGGGAAGGGGGAACTGAGATAAGGCAGTGACAGAACCAATAAAGATGCATTATCAAGCCAGCTACCACTGTGGGCAGTTGCAGCTTAACCCTTCTGGGGAATTTTGTAAGACTGTGGAGCACACACTTCAGAGTTATCTTGACTGAGAGGCAGAAGGCTGGAATATTTACAGACCAGTTCTCACCAGTCATTGGTTGAAGGCTGCTTTGGGGGTTATTAACTCCGTGGCAAAAAACTTTACCTGTATGATGTCCACATGTATACCTAATCCTGCCCCACCTAGGCTGGGTGAGCTCTGATGGTCAGAAGAAGACCTCAGGCAAAACGTGGCAGTGTCTGAAGCTGGAAGCCACCAGTTAAGGAGCAAGTAAGGGAATGAAGAAAGTGCCAAGGGCAGGTGGGTGGGCATCCACAGTGCCTGCCTAAATAAGAAATTGACAGTGTGTACTACAGTAGGCATCTGGGAATGTCAGGCTGAAGAGTGAGGACTTATTAACACAACAGAAAATCACAGAACTGTAGAGCTGGAAGTGATCTTAGCAATTATGTAGCCTAGTCTAATCCCCTATGTCATTTTAACTAAGACAAAAAGAAGTGAATTGAAGAACTTGGGGTCAATGAATGGCAGATCCTGGAATGTAAATTCTAGCAAGACCAGTCACCAAACAGACTAAACATGCTTAGGACACCAGCAAAATAGGTGTATTAATTATTTGGAAATAATTTAATATTTGATATTTAAAATGTTGAAGTTGTCATTGTGGACTCATTCAGAATTCTGTTATACTTTCTTATATGTATTTTCTAATTTAAGGTTGGGCTTCTTTGGAATTACAGTATATATTATAGTAGTATATATTATAGGTGAAATATTTAATGTTTTTAGGGCTTTGGGCTTTTTCTGAAATTCCTGGCCTGGACCTAAGGATAGCTGTGGGAAACCAGGCTGTTCTCCCTAGGGAAGGACTTTCATTGCTTTTTCTTCATGGCTGGTGTCAACATCAGGCTTATGTGAATGGACCTGGAGCCACCTTGCTCTTCTGAGAGTATTGCCATTGTCTTCCAGATTGACTCAGCCTCTAGAACCACACTGTTGAGGAGGAACATACATCTGGATGAGGTTCAGTGTTTCTTGAAGTGTGTTCTATGGAAAAAACTGATCCGCAAGATTGTGCAAAGATTTTATAATAAAGCCTTTCATGGTTGCATAAGTATGGTTTTTGTTGTTGTTGTGTTTAATGGCTGGGCTTTTTAGAGCCCTTGGAATGTCAAAATGTTCTATGAAATTCCAAGAAAAGGAAATAGGATGCAGTGTTTCCCACAAGTTTTTGAACCAAGAGCACTTTCTAGCAAAAACTCTCCCAGACTAGTATTCTTCATACACCCCCCACCCCTTAAAAATGTTAATGCAGTCTTTACCTAATCAGCTCCTATGATCTGAATGTGTCCTCCAAAATACATATGCTGAAATTTAGTCCCCAGTGTGATCGTATTAAGAGAGAAGAAACTTTAGGAGGTGATTAAGTCATAAGAGTTTTCAGAATTCACTTTGAGTGTGATATCCATCACCTTATAGTCTTGGAAGATGTTTTCATTTAAGAAGTTTCCATTCCTGCTTTGGTAATTACTTTGAACTCCTTTAAAAAATGGTTGTGGGGTGGGGGAAGAAGAATACAACATCAATAAGGGTACCTGATCCCAAACTGGGCAAAGTGGGGACCCAAGGGAGGGCCAAACTTTACCTGTATGGTGACCACTTGTATACCTGATCCTGAATTGTACCCCACATCTTTAAAATAAAATAAAATTTTAAAATGGTTGCAATTTGCTCTCCCTGGGAAACAGATGCTGAGACAGCGTTAAGTGTGCAGAAGTTCCATTGAGGAGTAGCAGCTGCACAAGGAAAAGGGAGGCAGCACAACTGGGCAGGGGAGCCATCAGACTTTTTTTTTTGGAGTTGGAGTCTCACTCTGTCTCCCAGACTGGAGTGCAGTGGCCGCTCCCGGCCACCGCAGCCTCGACCCGCTGGGCTCTGGCGATCCTTCCGCCTCAGCCTTCCGAGTAGCCGGAACTACAGGCACGTGCTACCACGCCCGGCTGATTTTTTGATTTATTGTAGAGATGAGGTCTCGCCAAGTTGCCCGGGCGGGTCTCGAACCCGCGGGCTCA